CGCGACGCCGTCACCTGCGTGGCGGTCAGGCAAGCGGGGGCGCCCTTGCCGGGTTGCAGCTTGTCGCGGCAGCAGCTACCAACCGGCCGAATGCGGCGTTGCGCGGGGAGCTGCTCCACTGGGGCTGCACTAAGCCTGCCCCCTTGCGGCAGGCCTTCACTCATCCCACGGCAGCTGAGCCGCCTGCCCCTCCTCCCCTCTGCCCCGCCGCAGCCCGGAGCTGGACCTTGTGGCCAGCGGCGCCGCCGACGGCGACCTGCTGCTGCACAGCCTGAGCACCAGCCGCTACGTGCGCAGCGTGCCGCTGCCGCACGGCGTGCCGCCCTCCCTGGCCTGCTTCGTGCCGCAGCTGGGTGAGCCGGACGGATGACCTGGGGGGTGCTCTGCCTGTGGTTGCTGCACCCGCCAGCCGCGTCTGCTGCTGCTGCGGTGGGGCCTGGCGCAGCTGCAGCCGTTCTGAGGCCCGCCAGCTGGCAGCTCAGCTGAAGGCAGCCGGAGGCGGCTCGCTCAGGTGTCTTGAGCAGCGCCGCGCCGTGCTGTAAGCCAAGCTGCTGCCTCCGCATGGCGTGCCTGCCCCGTGGCTGCTGCCTTGCAGGCGCCCTGGTGGTCCACTCCTATACCGACCTGCAGCTGCACCTGTACACAGTCAACGGCCGCCACCTGGCGTCCGCCGGTGGGCTGGCTGCTCCGCTGCGCCTCCGCTGCCCGGACTCCCCTGTCGGACCTCCGTTGCCTGCCCGGCAGTGCCTTTCGCTGCCTGGCCTCTGCTCCCTGCCTCGCACTGCTGTCTGCGGTACAGTCAGCGGCGGCAGGGTGACCCCCACCTGGCCCTCAGACCCGCTCCCCTCGCCTCCCCTTCCCGGTGCAGACACTCACGAGCGGCTGGCCTGCCTGTGCCCCACCCCCAACGGGCGCATGCTCCTGGCGGCGGGCACCAGCGGCCTGGTCACCTTGCGCTGGATGCACTCCCTGCAGGTGGGCGCCAGCTCGGCTGCTGCTGCCGCCAAGCTGCCTGCATCATGCCGCCGCCTGCCATCCAACTCGCCTCCCTCCTGCTCCGCCCGCCCGGACCCCGGTGCTTGCAGGTGGTGCTGCGGTTTGACGGCGGCCGTGGGCCCATCACATCTCTGGCCATCA